GTTACCAGAAATTGTTCATATATGACTAGTATGCATAATACGTTTTTTTATTATGTACAATTATATTTTTCAAGAAAAAATATTGAACTAAGGAAAAATGTTTACAGCTAGCTAACGGATTAAAAGCTCCAAATGCAATTTTATTTTACAACTTTATCGAGATATAATTTAGATAATATATAAAGTTCATGTATCATAAGTATATAATTCAGTGGTTTCCAGTTTTAGAACTTTTCCATCACTCCCCAAATTTTCCTCAAGCCTATTTGTAGTCAGTTCCCAACTTCCATACTCTTTCCCCAGAAAACTGCTGATCTACTTTCTGTTTCTATAAATTTTTCTGGACATTTCATATAAAAGGAATCATATATAATCTTTTCCTTCTGGCTTCTTTCACTTGGCATGTTTTGAGGTTCATCCATGACATAGCATTATCCGATAGTATTTCCTTCTCTTTTTATTGCTGAATGGTATTTCATTGTATTGATATACCATATTTTGTTTATCCATACACTAGTTAGTAGATACTTGAACATTTATGGGCAAGTCTTTTTATGGACATATATTTTTATTTCTCTTGGGTAGGTTTCTAAGAATGGAATTGCTGTGTTGTAAGATAAATTAGCTTTTTAAGAACTTCTGAACTGTGTTCCCAAGTGGCTGGACCATTTTACATTCCTTCCAGCAATGTATAAGGGTTCCAGTTTCACCACATCCTCACTAATACTTGGTATTGTCTGTCTTTTGGATTATAGTCAGTTTAGTGGGTTTGTCAAGGTATTTCATTGTGGTTTTAATTAGCATATTTCTTTTTCTTTTTTCTTTGTCCTTTTTGAGACCGGCCGCACCGCGCTCAGCCAGTGACGCACCGGTCATCCCTATATAGGATCCGACCCCGCGGCGGGAGCGCTGCTATGCTCCCAGCGCGTACTCGCCAGAGTGCGCCACGGGCTCGGCCCTTAATTAGCATATTTCTAATGACTAATGGTGTTGAACACTTTTTTTGTTCTTATAAGCCATTCATGTGTATTCTTTGGTGAAATGTCTGAGGAAGTCTTTTGCCCATTTTTTAATTGCTTTGTTTGTTGCCTTAATTGGTTGTGAAAGTTCATTTATATTGTGAATGCAAGGGCATTATCAGGTATGGGATTTGGTAATATTTTTTCCCAGTCTGTGGCTTGTCTTTTCTTTTTCTGTTGATGTCTTTTGAAGTGCAAAAGTTTTTAACTTTCATGAAACTCAGTTTATCAATTTTATCTTTTATGGCTTATGCTTTTGTTGTCTTAAGTATTCTTTGACTAACCCAAGGTCATAAATATTTTCTCCTGTATTTTCTTTTACGATAGCTTATAACTAGCTCTCACATTTAGGTATTTGATCCATTTGAGTTAATTTTTTTGTGTGGTATGAGATAACAATCTATGTTCTTTTTATCTTTTTCACATATGCATATCCAGTTGTCCCCAAACCATTCATTGACAAGACTGTCCTTTCTCTCATTGAATTGTTTTGGCATCTTTGTGAAAAATCAAACAAATATAAGGATTGATTTCTGGGCTGTAGATTTTCGTCTTCATTGGTCTGTCCTTATACTTATCCTTATACTATTATCACACTGTCTTGATTACTGTAGCTTCATAGTATGTTTTGAAATTGGGTAGTGTAAATCCTCCAACTTTGTTGTTTTTTGTTCCCCCCCCCAAATTGTTTGGCTATTCTAGGTCCTTTGTACTCATATTTCCCTATAAAATTAAGATGAGCTTATTTCTACAAAAAAAAGCCAGCTGGGATTTTGAAAAGGATTGTGTTGAGTATAGAGGTCAATTTGAGGAGAATTGCCATATTAATAATTTTTTTTTTTTGTCCTTTTTGAGACCGGCCGCACCACGCTCAGCCAGTGAGCGCTGTGAGCGCACGGGTCATCCCTATATAGGATCCGAACCCGCGGCGGGAGCACTGCTGCACTCCCAGTGCCGCACTCTCCCGAGTGCGCCAGGGGCTCGGCCCCATATTAATAATTTTGAGTCTGCCAATCCATGAGCATGGAATGTTTCTCCATTTACTTAGATCTTTTTCTTTCAGTAATGTTTTGTTATAGTGTACAAATGCAAATCTTGTATTTCTTTTTAAGAATTTATTTCTAAGTATTCTTTGTGGTGCTATTTTGAATGAATTGCTTTTGTAATTGCATTTTTACAAGAATATAGAAATGCAACTGATTTTTGTGTATTGATCTTATGTCTTGTGACTTTGTTAAGTTTATTAGTTCTAGTACTTTTTTAGTGGTTCCTTAGGATTTTTCACATGTAGGATAATGTCATCTGATAATGAATAGTTTCACTTCTTCCTCTTTAATGTGAATGCATGTAATACCTTTTTAATTTTTAAAATTTTTAAATATATTATTTTCTAGTGTTACTGCACTGGCTAGAATATACAGTACTACAATCAGTGGAAGTAGAAAGAACAGACATTTTTGTTTTTCTCCTGATGTTTGAAGGAAAGTTAGATGTAGTCTTTTTGTAATTACCCTTTATTGGATTGAAGAAGATCCTTTCTATTTCTAATTTTTTGTGTTTTTTATAATGAATGGGTGTTGGATTTTGTCAAGTGTCTATTGAAATGATCATGAGGTTTTAGTTTTTTATATTCTCTTAATATGGTGTTTTACATTAATAGATTTTCAGTTGGTTTTACCTATCTTGCATTCCCAGGATAAATCCCACTTGGTCATAATGTATAATCCTTTTTATATACTGCTGAATTCAGTTTGCTAATATTTTTTAAAGAGTTTTTGTATATTGGTGTTATTGAGGGATATTGGTCTGTACTTTGCTTGTCTTTGTCTGTCTTGGTATCAGGATAATCCTGGCCTCATAGAATGAATTGGGAATTGTTCTCTCCTATATTTGCTGAAAGAGTTTATAAAGGTTTGCTATTATTTCTTATATGAGGGTACTTCAAAAAGTTCATGTAAAGATTTTTACTACCTTTTAATTCTATTTTCCCATAAACTTTTTGAAGTATCCTTGTATATTTCATAAATTTCACCAGTGAAACCATCTGCGTGTGCCTAGGCTTTTCTTAGTGTAAAGATTTTTAATGAGTAGTTCAGTTTTCTTATTTGTTATGGCGTTGATTCAGATTGTCTACTTCTTGTTGAGTCCATTCTGGTCATTTATTTTTCCAAGAATTTCTTCTTTTTAATGTCAGTTGTCTAATTTGTTGGTTTAAAGTGTTCATAATATTCTCTTTCACTTTCTAAAGGGTCAGTAGTAATTTCCTCTCATTTGTGTCTGTTCTTTCTTATTTTCTTGGTCTTCTGTCTTATGGATTGTCAATTTTGCTAATTTTTTTTTTCTTTAAAGAACCAACTTTTGAATTTATTTATTTTTTGTTTTTCTGTTTTCTGTTTCATTCATTTTTACTTTAATCTTTACTTTTTTCTTCTTGCTTTGGATTTAGTTTGCTCTTTTTCTGTTTTCTAAAGTTGTGGGAGCTTTGGTTATTAGTTTGCGACTGTACTTTTCTAATATAGGCATTTAAAGCTATAAAGTTTCCTGTAAATACTGCTTTAGCTACATCCTGTGAAGTTTAATATGTTGTGTTTTCATTTTCATTCAGTTCACAATATTTAATTTCTCTTGTGATTTCTTCTTTGACCCATGTGTTTCCCCAGATTTCTTTCTGTTACGGGTTTTAATTTCATTCTTTTGTTGTCAGGGAACACCCTCTTATGATTCAGTTGTAAATTTACTGAAATTTATTTTGTGGCCCAGCATGTGGTAAATTTTGGAGAATGTTCCTATGTGCTTAAAAGGAATATGTATTCTGAACAGTCTTTGGGTGGAGTGTTCTATAAATGTAAGTTAGGTCAAGTTGGTTGATAGTGTTGCTGAAGTCTTTTACATCCTTGCTGATTTATTCTCTAGTTCTATTTCATTGTTTAATTCTGTCAGTTTTTGTTTCATGTATTTGGCAGCTCTGTTGTTACATATGAATACATTTATAAATGTTATATCTTCCTGATGTATTGACTCTTTTATGGTTATGAAATATCCCTCTTTGTCTTTAGTACTTTTTACCTTAAAGACTATATCATCTGCTGCTAATATAGCCACTCCCTGTTTCTTACTGTTAACACCGTTTATATGGAGTACCTATTTGCATCTTTGAATCCAAGGTGTGTCTTTTGTAGAAGTATAAGTATGTGATTGGGTTTTACTGTTTTATCCAATGTGATAGTCTCTGCCTTTTGAGTGGCATGTTCAGTCTGTTCCCATTTGATATGGTTATTGGTCCAATTAGATTTACTCCTGCTATTCTTCCTTTACCCACCTTCTTTTGTGTTAAATATTCTTTTAGTGTACTATTTAAATTTCTCTGTTGTTTGTTTTTAAATCATTTTTAAGAGTTATTTTCCTAGAGGTTACTTTTTAGGGATTACAATATGTATCTTAATTTATCACAACCTACTTTTGTAGTTGAATTTTTATCCCAATAAGGTAGTAAAAAAAAACACCTTCCTTTAATGAAAGTTAAAGTAGATTTGTCTAGAATAGTAGTACTAAGTTTTTAAAAAGTATTGTTCTCTAAATAATCTCAAACTTTTATACATCGGTAGTTCTGGCTATTTTATAATATTTCTGAGCTATGATATTGTCAGTTCTAGTGTGCTTCCCATAGTAGTTAACTATCCCTGTCAGTATTTAGTAGAATTTAGCTAAATGCAGGTCAGAACCTATAGAGAGTTCTGTTAATGTGAGTTTCGTAGTCAGTTATTATAAACTCCCAGTTTCCCTATTACACCTTTTGTAGTAGTGGTATTTCTCCCACTATTGCTCCCTAAAAACTTTTCAAATATTCCTTTTCCTTATGTAAAATAGGCAAGGTGGACTAGTAACTCTTAAGTTTTCTCCTACTTTTAAAATTCTGTGATCTATCTGGTCAAAGTTAGAGATCATTATTCAAGCATAAGTTTTTCTGAGACTGCTACAAAGATGTTTTTGATATAAAGGCTTGGGTTGAGTATGTTGTGGAATGGGCTACAGAGGACCCATATGGCCTCCCTATAACACTTATTTTGGCTCTCACTGCACTGTTCTTAGCAAGTGCTGTACTGTCCTGGAAATTGGCCAAGGTGATTGAGCCCAGGAAGAAGGATCAAAAGAAGAAACAAAATCATCAGGAAAATATTGCAAAAACTAAATGATTAAAAAAGGATTGAAAGAGTGAACAGGCTCTGCATCCAGAGGAAAAGCATTTTGAAAGTTATGCAGCTTTGGAAGAACCCACTATGGTTTCTTTAGATTTCATGACAGTATTATTTAGTAAATGAAATCTGACCATATGGAATAATCAAGTTAGTTCTGACCTCACTACTGTAGTAACCTTTAGGCTTGAATGTAGTTTGTTATCTATTGATGGTTTTTGTAAATTAGCACTTATTATACTACAAATTCTTTATAACTGATTAGTCACTTGCCATTTAGCAGCTTATGTACTGAAATGAAAATATCCTGTGGAGAAAAGTGACTTTATATTATGAACTTTATTCAAATAATGGTTTAAAATAGAGTCCTGTTTTGGACAAAGGAAATTAAGAATATAAAAGTCAGAATTGTCCTCTTTGAGGTGAAAAGTACACTTTGGCTTAAAAGACATATAGTATATTAATCATATCTTTTATCATTATTGCTTATTTCTTGGAAGAGAATCATTTCTGGCTTTCTCAAAACAAAATAGTATTAATGAATATTTCTTTTTTCTGCATTTTTCTGATTTTAGCCTTTGAAATAATTGGTAATTTTCAAGACATTCTGCATTTTTGAAACCTAACTTCATGAAGAATTCTCTAATCTTTGACTGGGTTTAAGTGTTTTTGTACTTATGAACACTGTCATTCTTAGAGATGACATACTGAAAAGAGTAACACTATGATTTAAAGCTTGCAGTAAATGTCTAATGCTTTAGTACCTTTGAACCAGTTTATTTTGCTAAGTAGAACCGTAAAATAGTTCAAATGTTTTATTAGATAATTTGCTGATTTATATAGACATTACTTTTGTTTTTTAATTCCATTCTTTGTTTTAACTCATGCAATCGTGATGTCTTGTACTTTCTGATCAAACATGTTCAAAGTGAAAATTAAAATTTAAAATTTCTTTTAAAGAACTCTTAAAGAGTATACTTCATAAAGCAGTAAAGAAAGGCTTAACAACATTTGGAAAATTTTTGTTGGGCATAGTAGTAATTGGGTGAAAAAGGGAAATTATGTCAAAAGTTAGAAAAAATTTTCCAAAAATTCTAATTTTAAAATGAGAGCAGATATTGAAATAAATTTGATACTTTTTTAATTAAAAAAAGGAAAAAGGACTATAAATTAGGGTCCATAACTGCCGAAAGTAGAAGTTTGTGTTTAGTATCTGTTGAATGATAATTTTTTATAAAGAATTTAACTTTTTAATACAAGTAAGTCTAAGGTTGAGCAGATGTTTAGGTAATGGTTTCAGGAACCAATAGTGAAAATTACCAGATTCCACTTAATTCAGTGCAGTTATCAACTGTTTTTTATTATTTAATTTCCCTTGTTCCCTCCTTAGCTATACAGCATTTGTGTTTGATAAGTAAGATGTTACTAATATTACTAGCTTTCCGTTGATCTGTTTTGGATTTTATTCTAGATTTTTTTTGAGGATTTTAAGTTTCCAGTCTGTGTAAAAGTTCAACCCTCATTTTTTTCCATCCTTCTTAATAAGAGTATTAAAGGCAGGGGTAATTTCTAGAGTTTAACTGGTAGGTCCCTGTTAAGATGTGGTTCCCGTTCCAATAAAAAACATGGGGCTGCTAATATAAGCTTAACATGTGAAGATTATGGTTTTAAGATACTTGATTTATGTTGGCATATGACTCCCCAGTGTCATCATCTTAAATATATGAACTTGCTCAGCATCCAGAATTCAAACCCTTTGACCTAGAGTTTGATTGCATAAGGTCTTGAGTTTTTCATCTAATACATTCTCTAGAAGTTTCCCACATATTTACATTTCACTTTAACCTGGTAACCATATGACCAGCAATTGTGCTAGGTATTGTGGGAATAAAATTTATTGAGACAAGATTCTGCCCTTGCATGCCAATGAGATGCCAATGAAATGATTAGAGAGAATGTAACTACACATGGCCAGATGCTGACTTGTGTGCATGTAATACAGGAGTTCATTAAAGGAAAAGATTGTGAAGTAAAAAGAAAACTTACAAGGAAGAGGTGGAACTTGAAGGATGGTAAGTGAAATTATAATAGAGGAATAGAAGATAAGTAGAATTTGTTTAGGTATACAGAGAAAAATAGCAATACAGATGGTCCCTTACTTAAAATGGTTCGACTTTATAGTTTATAACCTGAGATTTTGGATTACTAATGAATGGGAGCAATGTTAGGAATTGTAATATTACAGAAAGTGATTTTCATTTTAGAAATATTTGAGGTGCTAAAACTTTAAGGGAAATGGTTGTCAGGCATATTGACACATTCACACATTGGTAATGAAAGAATTTGCAGTGCCAGTAAAGAATCATGAATGAATTCCTGCATAATGAAGCCACAGAGGTCTTTCAGAGGCCATGAAAATAAATGAAGAGAGCAGAGTCACCGAAGCCAAAGGATAAATGAGTTGTGGGATAGAAGGACTCATTCACCACAAGTATTGAACGTTGCAATACTATCACTCTTCATCCTGATGTCTCTACTTTCCTCTTTTTTAAAAAAATTTTTATTGAATCAAAATTGATTATACATATTTTGGGGGTTCAACATTGAGATATGTTGATCAAATCAATATTACTAGCATATATATTGTTATAAGTCGTAATTATTCTTTATGCCTCTTGTACAATCTCTCCCCATTCCCCTTTCCCTCCCCCCTCTAATTACCCTAGATTTCTTCCCTCCTTCTGAAAGAATAATGGTAACTGTTGATTTGTTGCCTAGATGATCTGTCCAATGTTGAGAGGTGTGATCAGGTCCCCCAATATTATCATAGAGCAGATGCTTCTTCTGTCACTCTAGAATGGGTTTTGTGGAGAGAGACATCCTCTTCTTTTCTTTATCTCTGCTGGTGACTCTCCTTGTGTCAGTGCACTCTAGTGGCTGGCTGACCATCTGCATGGTAGTTGTGACGTCTAGCTGCTTTCGCAGCAGCCATGGTTATTGTGGTGGCTGTGGTGGGCCACCCACGTGGAGGTGATGTTTTTGGCATGCTCCTTGGTGCTGGCAGTGTGCCTGGTTGTGGGGAGTGTCTGGTCCCTGGCTCCATACCTCAGGTCCCCAGGTGGGCCCCGAGGCACTGGCATGGTGTACCTGGTTGTGGGAGGGATGTCTGGTCCCTGACTCCATACCTTAGGTCCCCAAGCAGGCCCCGAGACACCGGCACAGTGTGTCTGGTTGTGGAAGGGGAGTCCAGTCCCAGATCCATGCCTTGGGTCCCCAGGTGGGCCCCAAGGCACTGATGGTGTGAGGGGTTCTGGGTGGGGGTCCTGTCCCCACTCCATGCCTCATGTCCTCTGCCGGGGGCCCCAAGGCACTGGTGGTGTTCCTGGGCTGGAACTAATTTTTTGTCCTTTGCTTACTTATAACACGGGGAACTTCCTATGGGAACCAGTGCTTGAGCTGTGTTGTTGAGCTAAATTGCTGCTTTGCTGTTGTTTCCCTAGGGAAGGCTTTTTGTGTGGCTCAGGGTTTAATGGTTGACCTTATAGGTACTTCCAGCTCTCCAGAGACTCGATGCACCTGGGTTGTGTAAAAACCCTGAGTTTTTTTCATCAAACTGCACCCCATGCAATCCTGCATTCCCAACCAGTCTCCTCTGAGTGGTCCTGCACTGATTGGGGGGCAGATCGGCTGTCCTTGCTGTGTCCCAGTGTTCTCCCGGTGGGCCTGTCTCCCCCCACCGCCCATGTTCCAAACAGTTCCCATGAAATGGGCTGTGTGTCGGTCCCTTATGATGACTCACCGGCCTCTGAATGGCTCTCCTTTTCCAGCTGTTCTAGCTCCTCACTCCTGCATGGGTCCACAGGAACCCTGTTAGTGGTCTTGCTGTCCTGGGGGCCACCAAGGTCCTCTTCTCCCCTGCCACCTCCAAGTAACTCCATCTGAAGGGCACAGCTGTGGTTTCTGCCAGCTCCTGCTCCATGCTCTCAGCAGCTCCAGCTTTAAAGTGACCACAGCCTGAAACACTCAGAGCAGTTTTTTCTTTCTCTCATCGTGGTTTCTCCCATCTTCATGAACTCCTTAGGTCTCTCCTCCTCTTCCCCTGAGCTCCAGCGGCCCCAGCTTGGCTGATGTTACATTTTTATAGTTGTAAATTGGTTGATTTGTGGGAGAGAGTGACGCTGGGGACTGTCTATTCTGCCATCTTGACCCTACTTTCTTCCTTTTATCTTAAATTTAAAGGTCAATCATAATCACTCGCTTGCATACATGTTCAGTTCCTTTGTCCACCTTTCTTTTTGTCTTGGTAAAAGTACAACCATGGTTAAATCTCACTCTTGCAACTGAATGGGACTGAGAGAAATAAAACCATGACAACTGGTCTCACTTTAAATTAATGGCAGTAGACCCAGCAATTATACCACACTTCTTTGATTCATTCACTCTCCTAGATGACTGTTTCAGACATTCTTCCCTCTCTTCGAAAACCTGCCAATATCTCCTTCTCCGTCTTAATTTTAGATGATGAACTTATTTCCTGTTGCACTGAGAATATTGAGGCAATCAGAAAAGAGTTTTCACAAGCACCTGATTTTGCATTTATTTATTTATCTACCTACCAATCTCGGTACCCAGGAGTACTCTGCCTTGCTTTCTATTACTGTAGATGAATTGTCCAGGTTCCTAAAGCCAGCCCCTCCCCTTTTTCACTAGGTCTCACTCTCTCACACATTCAAAGGTATTAATTCTCCTCTCTCTTCTGTATTATCATTTTTTTCTATCCACTTAATTATACATTTTCATGAGAATACAAACTTGATGTTATTTCTCTTATTTTAAACAAAAGACCCTTCTCTTGACCCTACTTTCTCTTCCTGCTGCTGCTCAAATTCTCAGCTACCCATTTTAGTTGTCTGTAGTCACTGTCTTATTCTTCTCCTCTCATTCTTTCTTAAACCTGTCCGAAACAAGTTTCTGCTCTCATATCCCACCACTTTCAAAAC